TGAAATTTTTCATATGTTCTCTGAATTGTTTGACAATCTAGGCATGCGATTATGTAGGCACTGGGCATCCATGAATTATGGCCGTGAGATATATATTGCAGCGTACCTATATTGTCTCCTTATTTATTATTCAGTGCAATTTGTGGATGTGACGCTATTCCACCTACTTCCTTTGACGAGACGCGTAAATCGACATTCGCGTCTGGCTGTGCCCCAGGTGACATCATGGGCAGCAGGGTGCCGAAGAGGACCGCAGTGAAGGTGCACGCCCCTCCGGGGGGACGGTCGGCAGGCAGCTTCTGGTAGTCCGGATCGTCCGATCTACATACAGCCTGATCCGGATCGTCTCCGAATGACGGAGTTCCGAAAAGCCGATTCACCCGATCGATCAAATGACAGAATTTATTTACTAACCCAGCCAATGCTATTGGCAATTGTAGGCCTCCCATCCCAGTGGCTGCAGTAAAGACCCGTCGGTCCTGGTAAGCAAGTCACATTTTGTGATGCTCGCTGATCGCTCGACGTGCCGTGCCGTGCCGTGGTGGCGTTTGGTTAGAAGGTATCGGGGTGCTATGTAGTTGTCGAGCCTTACTTTGCGGGTTGATTTTTTCAGCTTGTTCCAAACGGCAGATTTATTGTGATGCGATGTGAGCTATTTTTTTGTCGACCATGTTTTCCTGGGGCGATAAGATATATATGAATACGTTTGATAAGTAGGTGACTTTTATGTCTTTTGGTCAGCTCATGTCTCTGAATATGTTCAGATAAGTACATACTAACGCCCCCACGGCCCACTCGTTTGTTGCACACAGGCCCCAGAGCGTAAACCGCGTATCGATCGGTTCGTACTTCAGCCGATTGCTGAATGCTGAACATGGCTTGGAAGTTGGAACGATGTAATATATTGTGAATGCAGCTAATATTTTTTTTCAAATAACGGTTGAATTTAGCGACCACGTCACCATTGTTGGGCATTACTACTCGTCTCGGCTATCTTATGACTATATACCTACCTAAGCCTTGACTGTTGGAGGTGACAGAGATGTAAATTTGGCTTCGTATTCAATGCAGTTGACTACTACGTCCTCGTTGTTTTGTGAGATCAAGCTGGCCATCCTTGAGGGGCCTTTTTTCACCCCAGTCGCCGGAGCCAATGTTGCTCCGACCTCCCCGGCTTCCGGTCTCTGTGACGGTGGATAAATATAGGTACATTATACCTACAAATGACGGCATGGCGGGAGAGCCGTTCAATCCAGTTCCCATGAGCCGCATGGTGAGAGTGAGTGCCCACTGTGCAGGCTCATCTCTGATTTTTATCACCGCTTGTTCTGAAATCGGAGGAAATCGTTAGTCCCGATTGTATCGATCACTGCTAGCTTGTTTCCATTACTGGATCCGGCCGAGGGTACCTAGGGTGGGTTAGCCAATCCAGTGGCAGGCGGTATTGGATCGGGTGCGTGGACGTGATGAGTGGGTTTTTACCCCCAAAAAGTTTTTAGTTTTTTTTTCAAAATTTCTAGAACCAATCGCGTCTCACTTTCGTAGGTATACCTACTTTGCTAGCTAACTTTAAAGTTTTTTTCTTCAATAGATAGAATAAGAAATGATAGGTGAATAGGGTAGGTAGGTTTGGTAGGCACCTACCTACAGCTGTAGGTAGGTGCCCTAGCCCACCTACACTTTTGGTTTTATTATTTTTCTTGAAAAATGACCTATCGTCAATTTTGGATGTTTGAGTAAACGCAAATGCACCAAATGGCAAATATTATCACCCCTAGGATCTACCAGTGCCCGGACGCTTATGAAATCTGAAATAACCACTATCGACCATTGGGAATTTGGGATAGCCATTATGCCTATGCAATAGCCCACATGCCCGTTGGAAGTCGTTGAAATGTGAAGCAGGCAGGGTTACCAACGGGAATTTTTCTAAATCCCAAGATCGCCGCGCGAATTTCCCAAAATCGAGCTCCATATCCCAAGGTCGACAGAATCAAAGCCCAATGTGCATCCCAAGGTCTATAGAAACCAAATATAGAGCAAATAAAGTGTATTTGACGTATTTCCAAATCTTTGGTTGACTAAATAAATCAATATCGTTAACATAACTTGCATTCGGCACAGTTACACACGCAGGCATAGGTACAGAGACACAGCAAGTTACCTGTCTGGGTTTTACGTTTATTTCCCGTTTCACGCGGTTTCAGTCTGGCGGCAAAACCATCCAAAATGTGCGCACTTGACTAGCATCGATAACCCGAACAAATATTGGGACAGCTCACACAGCTTTAGACAGCTTTAGAAGGTGGGATAGTTCCTTAAATCGACGCGGAAGCCACTGGGTATTTCGCTAACTGCCTCACTTGAGAGCTGAGACGAGGACGAGAGAAACAAAGTGAAGACGCGTCAAATAAGGATAACTTATTCAGGGGCGGATCCAAGGGGGGGGTCACATGGGTCATGGCCCCCCCCTTGAGGCCCGGTGGCCCAAAGACCTTCCAGGGGCACCACCGGCCTATCAGGGGTATCACAGTCCTGACAGGGGCACCACAGGACCGCCAGGGGCACCACAGGCCTAGCAGGGACACCACGGGCCTGGTGCCCCTGGGCCCTGACAGGACTGTAACGCCCCTGACAAGCCTGAAGTGTCCCCGGCAGGCACGTGGTGCCCCTGACAGGCCTGAGGCGCCCCTGCAAGGCCGGTGGTGCCCCTGGCAGGCCTGTGGTGTCTATGGCAGGCCTGTGGTGCCCTTGCTAGGCCTCTGGTGCCCCTGACAGGCTTGTAATGCCTCTGGAAGGACTGTGGTGCCCCTGGGCCCTGACAAGCCTGAGGTGCCCCTGACAGGACAGAGGTGCCCTTGATAGGCCTGTGGTGCCCCTGGCAGGCCTCTGGTACCCCTGACAGGCTTGCGGTGCCCTTGGAAGGACTGTGGTGTCCCTGGGCCCTGACAAGCCTGAGGTGCCCCTGACAGGCCTGTGGTGCCCTTGTTAGGCCTGTGGTGCCCCTGGCAGGCCTCTGGTGCCCTTGCTAGGCCGCTGGTGCCCCTGGCAGGCCTCTGGTGCCCTTGCTAGGCCGCTGGTGCCCCTGGTAGGCCTCTGGTGCCCCTGCGCCCGGAGAGGACTGGCGCCCCTGAAAAGTCTGAAGTGCCCCTCGGCAGGCCCGTCGTGCCCCTGACAGGCCCAAGGTGCCCCTGCGAGGCCGGTGGTGCCCCTGGCAGGCCTCTGGTGCCCCTGGCAGGTCTGTGGTGTCCCTGGCAGGTCTGTGGCGCCCCTGGCAGACCTGTGTTGACTGGTGCCCCTGCTAGGTCGCTGGTGCCCCTCACAGACCTGTGGTGCCGCTGGGCCTTGACAAGCCTGAGATGCCTGGCTATGACAGGCTCGTGGTGCCCCTGATAGACCAGTGGTGCCCTTGCTAGGCCTGTAGTGCCCCTGGCAGGCCTCTGGTGCCCCTGCTACCCCTGCGCCCTGAGAGGACTATGGTGCCCCTGAAAAGCCTGAAGTGCCTCTCGACAGGCCCGTGGTGCCCCTGGGCCCTGACAGGCCCAAGTTACCCCTGCGAGGTCGGTGGTGCTCCTGGCAGGCCTCTGGTGCCCCTGGCAGGTCTGTGGTGCCCCTGGCAGGCCTGTGTTGACTGGTGCCCCTGCTAGGCCGCTGGTGCCCCTCACAGGCCTGCGGTGCCCCTGGAAGGACTGTGGTGCCCCTGCCCCTAGGGGTGCTCATGGGCCCAACAGGCCCGTTGTGCCCCTGACAGGCCTGTCGTGTATACTTGCTAGACCTGTGGTGCCCCTGCTTCCTGGCAGGCCTGTGGTGCCCCTGGCGGGCCTGTGGCGCCCCTACAAGGCCGTAGGTGCCCCTGACAGGTTTGTGGTGTCCCTGGAAGGACTTTGGTGCCCCTGACAAGCCTGAAGTGTCAAGGACAGACCCTTTAGACGCCAGGGTCAAGTTCGTCGGACTGACAACGATTTGCTTACCTGATAACGTTCCTGGTAAGTACTCATTACTCAGCGTCCACAACATATATACACATAGCACATTCATATATACTTGCTTACAATTGGTAAATGTGGTTGTGGCTAAGAGGTAAGATACTGACTAAAAATAAAAAATAAAAATAAAAAAGTGAAAATGGGGGCACCACCAAAATGAAGTGGACGAAATCCGTTGAGTTTTTAATTTTGGGTATAGGTAGGGGCACCACTTCGATTCATGACCCTCCCCTTGGAGTTTTCCTGGATCCGCCCCTGAACTTATTCGTGCTTCGTTGGTTGCTTGGTAAGGTACAGTGAAACCAAACGAAAGAACGCTCGGTTGTGTTCGTCCAAAAAGGACGGTTTGCAAAAAAAAAAAACAATTAAGTTGTGTTAGATGTATTCCTGATTCCTTTGTTTGGTCTTTATTAATACTTTTCCTTTTTCCAATGATTAAAAAAATGTGCTAAAATTAGCGGGAGTCGAAAGCTCGGGACAAATCCCAAGGTTTGCTGTTGAATCCCAAGGTCCCAAGGTCGGGTTCAATATCCCAAGATCTTGGGACAAATCCCAAGCTTTGGTAACCCTGGAAGCAGGACGAGCAGATGCCATTCAAGCCGTTGACTGGGAAAATTTATGGTCCTGAAAACTGAAGGGCTCAATGAAGTATCTTCTTTTCATTGATTTAATGATTCATCACTTCTTTTCTCATCTATTTCTAGTTATAACTTATATTATTTTAAATTGTAACATCATAACATTTATTGATTATGTAATGGTAATGAGACTTTTGATTTAGTAGCAGCTTTCTTCAAGGGTAACGTACGCAAAATTATGCTACGCCTAAATGAGTTTTCTTTTCATTTCATATTGTCTTTCGAAATGATGTTTTCATTCATTTACTAGGCTATTATTTAGTTTGAAGCTACTTTGAAAGAAATTATCGAAAAAGTAAATTTATTTTGAAAACTATTTCTTATAATAATTTCATTGTCAACTGGCGGCAACCGACGCGCAGTTTTCTCGACGCCATGTTGTGTAGCGTGGTCGGCGAATCTGTGTCGCAGTGATGGCTACCCAAGATCGATGGTTTTTCTCGAAGGAAAAGCTTGTAAACACCCCAAGCAAGAAGGATGGGATAGATATGAGGAAGGAGCTATTCTACAGGCAACAGGCGGCAACGCTAGTGCAAGATATGGGACAGAAACTCATGGTGTATCCTTTGCGTGCTGCGCTTTTGCCGCATTTTTATCAGTCTTTCATTTATTGCTTAAAATTGTGTTTTATCGAGCTTTTAGCTGTATAAAATCGTTGAATTTGTTTTCTTTAATATCTCTTGTATGTTTGTTATTGGTCTTTAACTTGGTTGTAATGTTTTGAATCTTTCTGCCATAAAGTCGCCATGTTTGTCGTGAATCTTTTTGTCAACTTTCCAGGTAGAGGTGTTCCATTTTTCAGAATTTTGGGTAGAAAATGACACTAAATTATCGTTTTTTCATCCCAGTATTAGAAAAGAGGGATTATTTTATCTTCAAATTAAATTACATGCATTTGAACTAGGGTACGTAATGACTTGTCAGTTGATGCTTCCACATCAATTTCTTGCAAATCCTGTCAAATCCCTGACATTAAATCATACTTAATCAAGTGGCACTATAAATGACATTTCATCATTTCCCTAAAATATGGATGTTGCTTACATCCCCTTTTCTCCTCCTAGGATTTCTTTCTTCATTGGCATACTTAACCAATATCCAGTTAAAGGATGCTGCCAGGTTGATTGTGTGGTCTGTCGATACTGAAATATTAAGTAAGGTTACTTTTATTTTAATTTTGCTAGAATATAATAGCTCATGGTAATAAAGATAAGCTTTAAGCTAGGTATTTCAAAAGGATATTTTGAAAATTGTTCTTTTTACACTGGTGATGCAGTAAGTTAGTTCAGTAGGGATGTAAATTGGTGTGGTGTCAGGTAGTTGTTAAGTTAGAACATGCCTTTTCCACAAGAATGGATTTAATGCGATCTTCTGATAGGGCATAACAAAATCTGCCATTTTATGCTGTATTTGAGATTCTTTTTTATTGAAGTGTCCAGAATTTTGAACAGGCTTGCACCTTTTTTGATAGATGAGTGGTGAACCTGAAGTATTATCTTTTTTTCCATTGCCTGTTTTCATTGCTATTAGTGCTCTCTCCAATGAAAGCTTTTTGTGCTTGTGTATCTTTGAAAATCTCCCTAGCTCTCATTGTAGATATTTCTTATTTTTGTTACACTTATTTTATCATCATCAAATTTTCTGTTACTATAAAATGCCAGCTTTTTGAACAATCTTGGTCTTATTATGGTTTAAAAAAGTTGAAATAGGTAGACAGTTTCAAGTTGCAAGTTTTACTGTAAAATTTGCACTTAGGTTGAAATTATTTGCCTCCTGTTGATTGCAGATAGGTAAATGTTTTTTTCTTGAACCTGCCTTTTGTCAAATCCGCTCATGACATGTTTATTACAGCATACCTTATCAAAATTTTATGCAAGGCTGCCTTTCTTACTGGTCTGTGACATTAAGCATACTGAAGGATGGTTGTATGTAGGCATCAGATAACCCTCAGAGGTTGGGCAATGGTCACATTATCAAACCCAATCATCAGAGGGATGTGTGTAGGGATTTTGTGTGATTCAGAGAGGAAGTAGTTGCTTCAGGAAGCAGTTGCTTCCTGTAATTCTCTTTTACTACTGGATAATCCCAACATTATATTTTGGCTTGGGTGTTAAAGGGGAAAATTTATCACCAACAAACAGACTAGTGTTGAAAATTGCTGGTCAGATATAGACTAAGTTCAATCAGTGGGAAAAGGATCAGCATAAATTTCATTGGTAGAATGTAGAGTGTAAAATGACCATCCACACAATGCTTTTCCTCCATGAAATTGGAGGGTGGAAAATTGTGTTAAGAATTTAGGGTAGGAGTGCAAAATGATTTTTATTTTAATGTCATTTTCCGCCCAAATATTGGGGCACATAAACAACAAATCTGGGGATCCTTACTACTGGCATTCAAATTCAGCTATTCTAGTTTACCAATTGCAGATGTTTCCTTAGTACTGACTTGGACATAATCAAATGCTAGCATGAGCCATAAGGACTACCGACTATCTGTCAGCTTTTGTAATCACATCCATGATGGAAATGTTGGTCCTTAATCAATAACCACTGCTTGCTATCCTCATACAGAGATAAGGTTTCCAGGAATTTTTTGCATTACCTACCTATCACATTTTCCCCATGCTTCTGAAGTAACACTGAAACAGTATGACTTCTATGGGGTTTTTGGGGTGCTGATCATGAATATCATGTTAGTTTTGATCACAGATGATGTCTTTGTGCATTTGGGCCAGGTCAGGTCAACCAGAACATAGGAGTCCTGCCAGGTTTTCATAGTAGGGGTCAACTGTCTGACAGCTTGGTAACATGTTACGAAGGCACAAAAACTACTTTGTAAATGTTCAAATGGTTGCTAAATTCGAATTCAGCTCCAAAACGTAGCCAAGAAACATGAAAAACTTGATTAAGTGATTGTGAACCGAGGTCATCAAAGGTCAATAACCTGACCTGACCGTCAGGTGACCTTGACACCCACCCAAATATGCATGGGACCAACATCATGTCATATGTTTGAACGCTTTAAACCACGAAAAGACTGCAAACCGAGCCGACATACGCCGAATCGCGATTCCGGTCAAACATGGTCTCTAGAAATAGGTCACAGTCAAAGGTAATTTGGGTCAGGGTCATGAAATTTTCAGGGTGGGTATAAGATTGATTAACTCGAGGGTACTGCAAATTTCGTCGCGATCGGCTTCTTTTTACGCGAGTTATTCGCGAAAAACCGAGGGGAGGTCCGTTCGACCCCTCCCCCTGTACGGGCGAGGGTTAGTGCACTATGTCTGCTTGTATTTTCTTGCATAGTCTCACAATATTTGATAGTGTAGCTGCCTATTTAGTGTCTGTCAGTATTATCAAGTGGATATTACAACTGAGTTTCACCGTGGATTCCTTAACCAATAACATCAGATCCCAGCTGTGCATCAACTCAGCCATCGTGTACATGCATCGGTTCTACATGTTCCACTCATTCTCCAAGTTCCACCGAAACCTGATGGCACCATGCTGCCTCTTCCTGGCCTGCAAAGTGGAGGAACAGCCCAGGAAGCTGGAGCACCTTCTCAAGGTCGGCTGGAACTGCATGAACAAGGAGCCCCTGGACGTCAAGTCAGACGTGAGTTGCCGTTTGGTTTGCAGCTGAGCTGCTTAGATAGACAGGTGTGACTGTGTAATTCTGGTTCCATACTGCCTTCAAGTGCACTTAATGGGATGTTTTTGTTTATTGTTGAGGTGCTTACTGGACAAATTGTCAGTTGGGTATTGCATTGGTACTTTCTTGTGTATCGTTGTCAAGGGGCTTTTAAGCCCGTTGTACACGGGCAACTCCCGTCGGCAACTCCCAGCAATCGGTTGCTCGGCGACAGCCTTTTCTGTTGCTCTGGGTTGCTGAAGTGCTGCCAAATGCTATTCAGGGTTGTTCAAATATTGCCCAATATGTCGGCAACATCCGACGATCGCCGACGGTCGCTGAGCGTGACGTCACGATAATTATAACCAATGGACGAGCTGTTGCTCTCGATCGCCGAGAAGTTGAATATTTTGAACTTTCTGGCTGTTGCTGCGGTGTTGCTGGCCGCTTCTGCTGTACGAGCATGCAGCTATGGAGCAGCAAATAGGCAAAATATTTACAAAATACCGTCCTCTTAGATTTTTCAATGCCGATTACTAGTCAGGATATCTGAAAGGGATTTTGACAGGTTGGATATTGGTCTCAATTCTGATTTGTTGGTGGGGATCAGTGCCGGAGAAACCGTGGGGGACCGTCCCCCCGGGCCCCATTAATTCCATTTTCTGGGGGGACCTGGGGGCATAATATATAACGAAAGTGGGCCATTTTTACTTATGTTTAAAGAAAATTAACCACTTGGGCCTGTATTGGTGTTCTAAATCTCATTCCAAATATCGGAGCCCTATATCAGTGAGTAGATCTCAATAAGTCGGAGTTCACAGCAAGCTAGTGGGCCCAGTCTGAAGATTCCAGAACAAATCTTCGTATGGCATTTCTTCGTCGCGCAATTCTTCGTCCGCAAATCTTCTTCGGCGCATTTATTCGTGTCGTTTTATTTCGTCTCGCATTTCTTCGTAGGCGCAAATATTCGTAGCGCATTTCTGCGCCCATGAAGGGCGCAGAAATGCGCTATGAAATGCGTATGACCCCTGAAAGCACCCATTCAATAAAACAATCGCTTTGGACTAATTATCATTTTAGTGATTATCAACCCATGCCACAGATAAACAACATACACAAGCTACTCCAACCTTTGATATTTGTTTTAACTTTTAATACCACGTTTTGGCGTTCAAAAGATAGTGGCATCACTAGCGAACGATGGCACAGGCAAGCTATCATTACCTAATACATATCGTCTATCGATGCATATATAATATGCAGAAAACTTTAATATCCAACGCCACAAACCTCAAACAACATCTGCGTCCGGTTGTCGGTGGGCTCTGGAATGCCGGTTGTCGAGAGTCGCCCAGTTCCTCGGCGTGACGTAATTGTGACGTCAGCAATGTGAAAGCAAATTCATCGGTGTTGCTAGGAGTTGCTCGCATGCTGCCACCGGTTGCCCGGCGATCGGTTGCCCAGAGTCGCCGAGCAACCGATTGCTGAGAGTTGCCTGCGGAAGTTGCCCGTGTACAACGGCCTTTAGAGTTAACAGTTATGTTGCTTTCATTTGCCATCATAAGTTGATGTATTAAATCATTGTATTCGAAAATCACATCCATTCCTATCTTAATTTTTTATTTGCTGTATTATTTCTGGATGTTTGTATTCTTTGTTCTGCAGCTAATGATGTCTGTAGCTTTTCATTTACACCAGATGTGCCAAGCTTGACTTTTTGTGTGCATTTTCAGAAATTCAAGCAGCTGTATGACGAGCTGGTGAGGAACGAGAACATCCTCCTCGCAACTCTTGGGTTTGACTGCTCTATTGATCACCCTCACACTCATGTTGTAAAATGCTGTCAACTCATTAAAGGTGAGAATGTCATTCACAATGCTGGTTCAGCTACAGCTGGCGATAATGTGATTTGTGTGTGTTCTTTGTTTGTGCATCTTAGTAACCACACTGTATCTTGATGCAATTTTGTTTTGTTTTGTCTATTTATGTCAGTGCCAGTGTGCTTAGAGGGATAATCTTGCAAATATTTTATTTGAATTGTTTCCCATGTGATGTCATTTTATCATGCTAATGATAAAAATGTAAGACAACAGCTAAGTCTATATTTTCTTCTGCTGTGTTTTGAGCTAGTTTTTGAACTGTTTCTGGCTCTCATAGTATATTACAAAGTAGATTATTCTAAGCTCAGTAAGTACAGTTAGGGTGGGTTTTTCCGTCAATGGGGCCAGTTTGTTAGCCTGTCGCTGGAAGTGCCCGTGCGGAGGGAATGGTAACCCAGTCGGCAGCAATGCTAACTGGAGGCTCTCCATTTTCCATGGGTCGGCCGGCCGGCTGACCCGCTCCGCACCGCGCGCTGCTGGCTGGTGTCTCTTGTCCGTGTGGCAAACGCACCCACAGCTAGCAGGGACTTGGCGCAAACGTCCTACTTCATGGCCACAAACAGGTGATTGCCCTGGGAAGGACGGGGGGCCAGCCTGGCCACCGGCCGAGACTGGCGCGTCCCGGCCACACGTTCCCCGGCTCGCGTCGTAGGTCTGGTCAGCCTTCGGCCTCACCATGTATGGTCAAACCACCCTTTTGTATTATGTAATAGGGACTTAATGCTTTCGGTTTTGTTCACCACATCAGTTATTTGATTAAGAAATGTAGCCCGAAGTGAATTTCATCCCATGATATCTTTGCATTTTACCTATTTTTTATTTAGTTATGTGCGCATGCAGTAGTTATCTTCGATTCTATTTTTTAAAGTTTTTATGCGTGAATAGACGTTAGCAATGTAAGCAGTAAAGCTTCAGCTCTAAGGCGACTCTGAGTCAATTCGTCGCTTCTCTTGTGCCACGCTTCCCCTCTTTACGCCATACTGTTAGGCCGAAGGCTGACCACTCCTGTGACGCCGCCGGGTAATGTGTGGCGTGGCTGATACATGCGCCGTCTCCGGCCGCTGGCCAGGCGGCGACTGCTGAGTAGAGGTAGCGCCGGCTCTGGCCGCTGACTGATCGGTGGCGGGTCTCTCTTCTCACTGTCCCACTCCGCAGACGTGTCTCACCGTACCTGAGTGCGGCCCGGCGGCCGGCGCCCCCAGGCCGAGCCGTGGCCGCGGGGCGCCGCCGCCCCGCCCAACAGCACCTTTTCAGGCCGACACGCGCCGCGTCGGACACGCCTGAGCCCAGATATTGTCTGCGCGCATGCGTGCTCTTTCTCGGTCTGGCGGGAGCGCGGTTGTGTTGCGCTCGGCCGGACTGGCTGGTGAGGCGGTGTGCCGGTGTTGGTAAGGAGCGCCGCAGTGTGTCTGTGTGGTCTGTCCGCGTGTGTGAGGTGTCCGGACTCGGGTGGCTGACAGTCCGCCTCCCCCTCCCTCTGCGTGCTGACAGCCTGCACCTGACCATGATGTGCCTGGAGTACCGCTCCACCCTGGTGGCCTGTGTCTGTATCTACCTCGTCCACAAGTGGTCGGGCCACGAGGTAAGACACGCTGATGACCGACCGCTACGTGTGCTGGACATGCAATTCTTATAGAATTGTAAATCAGTATGTGATTGGTTGTTCTTACGGTTAGCTGTTATTGCATTTCTTGAAAAGAAACAGCGCACTAATGTGAACGAGGTGTTGCAACGTAAACCCGACTAGACAGGAATGTTTAAAGGTAGTGTGCCACCTTTGAAAGATTTCCCATTTTATTTTTCCTAGGATAAGAAGCTTCTGTTTTTACCTAATATCGCAAAAAAATCAAAAATGGGCCTGGAATAGTGCCTTTTTCGCCTAAAAGTTTTTTCGGTTTTTAGATATGTATAACAACTGTAGTGGGCTCACCTGCAAACAGGCGTCGGGCAACAATCGCGATTGCGGCGCACTTGTGACAATAAGCAAAGGTCATTATAGTGTTACGACCATACGACGTACGGGAATGAGTTATCAGCTGTCTAATCGTAGACAACACAATGTCGAGCCTTAAACTGTAAGCCCGTATTGGTATTGTTTCTTTTATTTGGCTGTCGAACATTATTTATGGTTTGAAATATGATTTTATGTAAAATAATTGATATGAAAAAGCCCTCTTATAAGTTATGACCCCATTTCACCACACGCAAGTGGCAGAAATGACAATGATCAGCTGACGCATTTTTCTTGGCCGAAGTCAGAGCGCGCGGCCCGACGCACCACGCGTATTTGGAAATTCCGACCTCGACGAGCATCAGAAGCCACCTAACAGGCGTGTTCGAAACCGCAGGAGATGATGATGAACGGGTTTATCGAAACTTGATTGGATGAGCATATCGATAAAAGCGATTTCAGTGTGTGCATTTATTGTTCATAGTGGTGTGAAATGTGGTTGGGGTACGACCGACAACCCGTCGGGGCGAATTTCGCACTGGGGTACTCAAAATTTGAAGAATTTAAGACGTTTCCATGAGTTTTGAAGGTATGGATAAGTTCTAAAAATCCGGTTCTCCTTATCTGGGCCATTAACTCCATACGGTCCAAGAAAGCTGGCACACTACCTTTAAGATGCTTAATTTTTGTCTCGTTCTTTACCAACATTGTGTCGCTTTCCAGATCCCGAAGTCGTCCAAGGGCAAGGACTGGTTCTGGTACGTCGACCGGGACGTAACTTTGGAACAACTAGAGCGCGTTAGTGAGGAGTTCCTGCTCATCTTCAATCAGTGCCCCTCCAAGTTGAAGAACAAGATCATGAAGTCCAGCCGGGCCATCAGTGATCAGGTAAGATGATATATCTTGTCATTTGTCAAGTCTGAAAGAAGGCCATGATTTCTTTACCTTTTTTGTTATTTCTTAATTTCCGTGAAATGTATTTGCAAGCTTCATTTGAAGGCTGGGGAGACTTGCACTTTTACTAACCAAATTGTTCAGTGTTCACAGCTGTCTATTCAAGTTGCATTGACTAGTTTGATGTCCACTTGTCCCGTCTTCTCCATTTCTGAGCCGGGAGGGGTTAGGTAGCGCGCACCGATCGTCACACCTCTGTGCCCGTTTGTGTGTCTCCAGGAGGCGGAGCAGATGAAGCGGCAGCGGAACGAGGCGTCCCGTCCGCGCCAGCCGGCGCCGCCGTCCGCGGCGAGCTCCGGCAGCGCGCCGGCGGCGGCTGGAGCGGGACCGTCGGCGCCGCTGCTGGCGGGGCCGCCGCCGCCGCCGTCCGGGGCCTCGGCGTCCGCCGCCGCTCCACCGGCCGCCGCCGCCAGACCCACCGGTCAGTGCCCGACAGTCACAGTATCAGCTATCCGTCTCAGCAGTTCTGCCTATATCTGTCTAGATCGTCTCGCTCTTCTCTCTTCAATTATACTTGCTTCTCCCATCCCTTCTTCTCTGTTAATCACCTCAATTCTTCAGCCGCTTTCACCCACCCCTCTTGATGGTTTATCCTCTAACCTTTTCTCCTCTCCTCTTCGATCCTCTTCATGTTCTTTCACCTGACTCTTTTCGCCTCTTATCTCTTCTCTTTTTTTACAGTGAGCTTTTATTTATTTACTTTTTGTGATGTTTTGTAATTTTTTTGTGTAGGTCTTTTACCGACCACTGAAAAAAACTTGCCTTTGACCCGGTGCACCCCGAAAATAATCAGCTGCCAAAAAACTTACCCATCACTCAGTGTACCCTGAAAAATGTAGCTACGAAAAAAGTAACCTATCGCCTAGTGTACCCTGAAAAAGATAAGTTACCAGGCTATGCGGCTTGTGCTGCGCATGTGCACTCGCAGGTTTGTGTTGCTCCAGCTGTGTAACTGTCTCGTTCCCGCCCAGGTGCTCCGGAGCACGGCGGATCGTCGCGGACGGCGCACCAGCCGCCGCTGCCTCCGTCGCACTCGTCGAGTGGCTCTTCCTCTGGACAGCGGCCCGACTCGCACAAGCTGGCAGCGCGCGCCTACCGCGACAAGAAGGAGCGCGAGCACTTCAAGGTCGACAAGAAGCGTGACAGCGAGCGCGACCGGAGACCAGCGCCCCGGCCGCCGCTGAAGCAGGAGCCGGGTGCCTCTGGCGACTCGCACAAGCCGCGCCAGGACGCACTGCACAAACCGAGCAGTGTCAGTGACGTGCGCGACTTGCTGAAGGACGTGGACGCTCGGCACAGTCTGCTGAATAGCATGGAGCACCCGGCGCAGCGCGGCGCCGAGCCGCCGCGGCAGTCGCACTCTCGGCCGCACCCCGGCCACGCGCGGCCGCACCCGTCCGCGCCGCCGTCGGCCGCCGCCACCGCCGACAAGCCGCCGCACTCGCGGAGTGGCCAGGAGCTGTCGGGCAGTCACGGGGCGCGTCACCCGTCGTCGCAGCGGCACAGGACTGACGGTGACTCGGCCCACAAGTCGGGCCATCACCGGCGGTCGGCGCCGTCCGCGGCCGCCGGCTCCGGCGCGCCGCCGCCCTCCTCCAGCAAGGCGCCCAAAGTGGAGCGGCCGCCGCCACCGCCGCCGCCTCCCGTCTCGTCCTCGGTGCCCACCAAGCAGGAGAAGCGGTCGCCGCTGCGGCTTGACCAGCCGAACGGCGTGTCTCTGCCGACGGCGCCTCCGCCGCCGCCGGTCCGGGACCCGCTCTCGGCCAGCCTGGCTCTGGCGCAGATCAAGGACGAGTTCATGCCGACGCCGATCATTAGTCCGCTGCGATCGCCGCTGTTCAGCACTACCTCACCGGACCTTGCCGACGCGCTGCCGCCGTCAGAGCCCGAGCCGTCGCTTGCCAGCATTGTGCCAAAGATGGAGAAGAAGTTGTCTCCGCTGTTCTTCACCGAATCGTCTCCTCCCGCCCCACCGCCGCCGCCTCCGCCGGCTCCGGCGCCGCCGCCTATAAAGGTAGAGCACAAGACTCCGCCGCCCGTGGTGCCGCCCCCGCCACCGGCCGCGGCGCCGGCGCCTCCGCGCGCCCCACCTGCCGAGTCCAAGTCGCGACCGAAGCCGCTCTCGCCTCTGAAGCTGCCCACGAACGGCAGTGGTGGCGGCTCCATCTTCAGTCCGCCGGCGACGCGGCCCTCGCGCGGTCCGCCCACCGATCCGGAGCTGGTGCTGCCCAAAGTGGACGACATCCCCATGTTTAGCCCTCTGAAGGGCGGCACTACGGGGAGCATCCGTCTGCCGCGCGGCGGCGGCCCGCTGCCCGGCGAGCCGCGCTCCAACTCCATCAGCAGCCACGACAGTGACTTTGAGCTGGTCGCTCCCGCTCCGTCGCTGCCGCCTCCCCCGCCGCCGCCGCCGGCCCCGGTGGCGCCCGTGTCTGCGGCTCAGGCGGCCGTGCCGTTCAAGACGGCTCCGTCGGAGGACGTGGCGCTGGCGAAGGTGCCGTCGGCGCCGCCCTCTCTGATGAATGCTCCGATCTCGACGAGTTCTCTGCTGGGAGAGGCGGGCCGCGAGGACCGCCACAAGCACAAGGAGAAAAAGAAGAAAAAGAAGGAGCACAAAGAGCATAAGGAGCATAAGCACAAGAAGGAGAAGAAACACAAGGAGCATAAGGAGAAGAAGAAGGACAAGCACCGTGATCGTGAGGAGCCCAAGCTGAAGATAACCATTTCCAAAGACAAGCTGGAGGGCACGGAGTCGGCGGCGGCGGCGGACACGTTCATTCCCAAGTTGACCATCCGGCGTGAGAGCAGTCCGCTCTCCAGCCCGGGCAACTCGCTCAAGATCCGCATCGGCAAGGGCCAGGTGACGCCGGCCGAGGCGCCCAAGGCGAAACGTCGCCGCGAGAGCTCCGAGTCGGACCCGGGCAGTCTGGTGGCCTCGCTGCACACCTCGGCGCCCAAGCACAAGCACAAGCACAAACGGCACCGTCAGGTGAGTCCCGCCGCCGGCTGAGCGCCGCGGCCGGCCGAATCGCGACTCATTGCGCGGGGAACACACTAGGGATCATTAATATTTTTATAGGGGTGTTTTGGGGGACATGGTAATCATGGGCTGGCAGCCAGACCGTTCCAGTTACTTATTGCTTCAGATTTAGCTCACTTGCGGTGGTCAGTTGTGTCTGTGGCTGTGTCTGTCTGTCTGTCGGCCGAGTGTGGGTCTGATTGGCTGCGGCTGACCGGGCCCCCTCCACCGGCAGGACTCGGACCGCTCGGACGCTCTCCATTTCTAGCCGATCGGCCGACCGCCGCCGCCGGCTCGCCCCGCGGCCCCGGCCCCGGCCCCTGCGCGGCGGTGGCGCTCCGCCCGCCGCGCGCCAGCCGCCTACCCCGGGCTCTAGCTAATGTGTATTGTGTTCATGGACTCTGTGATGTATGGCGTGGTGCGGACGCGCGCTTCCCGGCCCGCCCGGCGCTCTCCAGCGCCAGGGGCGGCGCCGGAAACTTGAGTGCTGTGATGATAAAAAACGTGTAAGTCTTTCCGAGGTGGGCGCGCACGTCCTGGAGCGCTGGACCCGGCATCGGCACTGTCTCCAGCCCTCCCGTCCGCGCTACCCCGCCCGGCGCCGCCCTCGCTGCGCGCCGTCACTCACTACGCGCTCCCATCGCGCGTTGTTGCTCAGCCGGCCGGAGCTGGCCGGTCCGCCGCCGCGGCGCCCCGAGCGCGGCCCGCGGCTGTTGGTATTCGTGGTGCAATGTGGCCAGAGAGGCTGCCTAATCTGCGCCCGCCGGCCCAAGGTCCTGTTTTGTACCTACGTATATTTTGTATGTATCCGTAACATGCATGTTAATGTATGTCTAGGTATGTTGTGTGCGGGGATTCGTCCCTATGATAAATGCCTGGCTACCGCCACATTTATGCAATATATCGTAAAGTGTGATGCTGCCTCTCGGCCACGGCCATCAGTCGCACACCAGATACGCAGTATCCGCGCTGCAAGAATATCGCAGAACTGCCACTTAAGTGAACTCTTAACTTAAAGTATTTAACTTGACTAAGTTAAAGTGGGCCCACTTAAAGCGGGGGCGCGCCCCGTTCGGTTTCCAAATATGAGAACACGAACTGACTAAATAGGAGCCACACACGTCTACAGACGTCACATGCTAGAACCGAACCCATGAGACATTCATCACCAGTGACCCAGACAGTTTGACCTACGCGACACAAAGTCCTTTCCTTCGTGACGTGGCTATCGAGGCAGAACGCCGTTATCGCGCCGCTACGCTAGTGTCAGTTCGTAATCAGTGCAGGCTCTGGATGTTTCATCAGTCAGTCTGAGAGTGGCTCTGACCATGATGCACTGCGTGGCCCTCCGTAGCCGTGTTACTATCGGAGATAACGACGCTGTGGTTATCGTGTAGCGGATTGTCGTCAATCAGTACTAGACGATCACTTTTCTTCAGTGTATCGAAGAACGACCAAAAAACACGCACTAACACAATGACAAGTGTACTGGCGTATCTCAAATGATTGCCCAAGGAAGCTCCAACAAACATCACAAACACAACATGGCCCAGTTTGTTAACAGATCTCGGCGCGCACCCCCATCAATACGGCAATTCTATTCCTGCACACTCCCCCCCCCCCCCCCGAGGTCAGGTCGGGCGGTCACACTCCCGGGTCGGTACGGCTCAGAGCGTCCCTCTGTTTCTGCTCCCTGCGTCGGCGCCGGTGGCGGGACCGGTGGACCGCCGGCAGCTCCCCGTCACCCTCGCTCGTCGCCAGGCCGGCAGGTGCGCTCAGCACTGTCTCCGAGAGCCGTCCACCGGCCGGGCCGCCGCGCGCCACCTCGATCACAGAGTCCAGACGGTCCAGGATGGCCTGGAAGCGGCGGTTCTCGTGTTCGTCCTCGGGAGGCTCGTCACGGGCCGGTGGTGGGGTCAGCGGCGGCGCTGTGAAGTCGTCAGTGGGTGCCGGCTGGATGGCTCGCGGCAGCAGCGACAGGCCCAGCTGCTCCCCATCGGCCTGCCGTTCGTGCTGTATCAGCTGGACGGTGACGCGCGGGTCGCGGTGCGACGCCACGGCCGTCATGTGCTCCCACGGGTGAAAGTGGACCCCTACCACGGGTCGCGTCCCGCCCAGCGCCGTGTAGGTGGCGCACCGCTCACCCGAATCGAGCGCCCAGACGTGCAGGCACCCGTCCTCCGCCCCGCACAGGTAGTAGGTGCCGCACGGGGTCACCGCTCCGCGCACCAGCGTCCGGCTGTGCAGGTGTCCCCCGAGCGTGCGCAGCGTTACCAGATGGTCCGTGTCGAGCACGGCGATCACACCGCGGCGCGCCTGCACCAGCAGCCGCCGGCCGGCCGGGTGCAGCTCCAGGTGATCGATTGGCGCGCCTCCGACCTCCTCCGGGGCCAGTCGACGCTCCAGGGTCACCTGAGGTCGGCCGCCGACCTCGCGCCACGACCAGACGCTCAGCCGACCGCGAGCGTCACCGGCGTACAGACGACGACCGTCCGCCGAGCAGCAGAGGCTGTTGACGGGCGTCTCTCCGGCGACCAGCTCGTCCGCGAGCCGCGGCTCGGCGCCGGGCGCGTCCCGCACTCCGCTCTCCCAGAGTCGCACCACGCCGTCGAAGCAGCCGGTGACCAGGAACTGAGGGGCAGTCAGGTGGAACAGCGCCGAGTACACGTAGCCCGGGTGTGGCAACACGAGCGCCGTGTACCGGCCGGCCTCGTTCAGGTGCCACAGACGGGCGGTCCAGTCGGCCGAAGCGGTCACCAGTCGGTCGTCAGCCCAGCGCAGGTCGTACACCAGACCAGCGTGGCCGAGCAGCGCGTGCGAGCGCTGGCCGCTCGCCACCTGGTACACCAGCACGGGGAACTGGGCGGCCCGCTGGACGGCGCACGCCAGCCGCTGCCCGCTGCCGTCGAACCGCAGCGTCTGACAGGACTCGCAGTCGTCAGCGAGCGTGGCGCGCCGCGTGTTGGGCAGCCGGCACTGCTGGCCGCTGAGCCGACTCCAGGTGGGCAGCAGCGGCGAGCTGGGCCGCCGGGCTCCCGGCTCCGGGCTGGCTGCCGCTCCGGCCGCCTCCTCCGGCTGGGTGGGGTACAGTGAGCGCCGACCGGGCTCCAGAGCCGGCGGCAGCAGCGCGCTGACGGTGACGTGCAGCGTGGCGGCCAGCCGGTGCCGCCGGCCGCCGGAGCGCCACCAGTTCAGCGCGGGTGTGGTGCGCGCCGCCCGGTCGCCCGGCGGCCGGTACAGCTGCAGCCGCAGCCGGCGCTCCGTGTTGAGCCGACCGCCGGGCGCGGCGCTGCGCAGCCGCAGGAACGCCCAGGCGGTGGTACTCAGCTCCGGCCGCGCCGTGGTCAGCTCGAACAGGAGGCAGACGCGCGGCTCGTCGGCCGTCAGCCGGCTGACCGGCTCGTTGAACAGCAGCAGGTCGTCCCAGGTGATGAGGCCGCCGCCGATTGCCGTGCCCGGCTGCGTCAGAGCCGGCAGGATGGTCTCCACGCCGTCGGGCTCGTAGAAGTAGGTGACGTGCCGATGCGGGTCACACTTGCGCACTGGCTGTCCAGTGGCGTCGTCCACCAGCTGCACGCGCACCATGGGCCGGCTGAGGTGCCAGCTGGCGCCGTCCAGCCGGTCGGCCTGGTGCACCAGCACGCCCAGCACCTGGTCAGCCGCAGCGGCCGGCTCTCCGCCGCCCTCCTCAGCGGTGTGCGGAACGCCGTGCGTCTCAGCCAGCTCAGCCGCCTGCTGGTCGCTCGGTACATGGGCCTTCTTTCTGCCACGGCGGCCCGGGCGACGCGGGGGTCTGCTGGGCGGCTCGCCAGGGTTCGCCGGCCCATCGCCCTGACCGGCGGCAGTTTCATCGACCACCCTCAAACTGGCGCCGGGATCAGCGGAGACACTTTTACCTGGCCTCTCTTCCATTTCATGTTCTTCAACGAGAACATCCGGCCTCTTACGACGTTCGCGATCCTTTCGACGACCTTTTGATGCGTGTCGATCGGTCTTCTTGACCCTCTTCCCACTCTCGACATTGCCATCATCCACATCGGCTTCCTTGACCTCGACCTCCTTGCTCTGTTCCATTTCGGTCATTTCATACGAAGGATTCTGCCAGCCTTGCAGTTCATTATTTCCCTGGCTGTTTCTGCCGGTCGTCTTGTGCTTTTTGTCGCCGAGCACCGCCGACAGAGAGCGCCGCGTCCGTTCGACCAGGCCCTCGGGCATCTGACTGCCGCCCTCTGCCGCCGTCAGGGGCTGCTTGTCGCCAGCCGAGACCATATTTACTCTCAGCTGCTTGCTGTTCTCAACACAATCACAACCATAAGGCACGCGGCACAAACATCAAAGGCGATGGTCCACTGCGATACTCCTCGAAAAGGGAGAAACACTGTAAGCTCTGAACTCTGAAGTTTAGGGAACACTGTTAGCTCGGCGGACTGATCTCTCGAACATAGCCTGCTCACCCAAACACGGTATCCCACCCACTCACACCGTCTACATCAAACACGAGCGTAGTCTGTTGCTCGGCGTTCCTGGAGCCGTGCTATCGGTGGTTTGTTGTGTGGAGAGGCCGTTGCCTAGCAGCGGAAATCGATCGCCCGGCCGCACCTGCCTCCCAGTCCACCGCACTGGGTCCGTCCTATGTGGCCACCAGGCACCAGACGGCGCGGCCGGCGGCCTGTACCACTCACAGGGGACGCTGGTAGCTCGAACCACATCCACTCGAATCCTGCTAGCATCTGCTCCGGCTTCGCTAGTGCTCAACGCACCAGAGACATGCATTGGGAACTTTAGCTAAGCCTGAGCCGGTAAAATGCGCATTATATAAGAATAGGTTAATCGATTTAAGGGGCTAGTATTTCATTTGGCCTGCCTATAGTACCTAGATCACACCCGTCGGATGTAAGTGGGGATGCAAATGTAAGAAAATGGTGCGGCATATAGGTAGTCGGCGCAGGGCTAAATCCGTTTTTACCAGTAGTTCAGGTATCGACTATCGAGGAAAAGGGTTTCCCGGCTTTTTACATGTATGTTGAAGCTCATATTTGTGGTCATATTTATGGTGCACCAAGTATCTGCTCCTGTTATCGAATGAACATTTATTTTGCACCGCATTTAAAACAAACCTCAAAGAAAAATGCAGCAATATTAAACACATGATATGAAATATAACCCAACATAAACGGCGAATAATAATAACATGAACACTGAACAGTAATAAATAGGAACACGATCAGTTCTGAGCAGCATGTTGACGGCAAAACATTCGACTCTTACCGAAAGAAAATGCACGACGGCGGACGGAGAAGCATATTTAGCACCGAGCTCCGTCCAACAGTATTAGATCCTGAGCTGCAGGTCTCTGGCCACCTAACCGGCAGCCGGCACCAAAGTCTGCAGCATTTCCCACGACACACGTGTGCCCTCCAAAGGACCTTGTCAGGCACTCAATGAGACAAACGGGAAATCGAGCGGTAGGTGTGTCGGTACGGCATTCATCAAAGGCCACCATATCAAAATTTAAAGTTAAAACATCAGTGAAAAAAATAAGTTTGGATGAGGCCCTCGATTGCAATGAAGGTAAAATTATATGAAAAGCAAACATTCGTATAAAAGGACTATAAAACAAGCAATGACGCGAGCGAATGTATTCAGTCTTCGATCCTGCCGATCATTGAATCTCCATAGTGAAGGCAGGAAAAAGACGCGGTTCACTTTAGATAAACGAATCGATTACATAATAGGCAATAGGCATGCCGCAATGATGGGCGACACATGGACACACATAAAATATCAAAAATACACACAAACATAACTCGCCGCCAGCACCCTCCGCCGTTCCTCCCACTCTGACCTATAGTTCCCCATGTCACCCAGCCTTTGACCTAGCTCAGTACTCCTGAGACAGACGGGAGGCCGGTGACT